TGTTTGGCCACAAGGTCAAACAATTTGAGACTGCTTTTTTGTTAGTGTCTGGCGATAGCCCGGATGGGGTCGGAGGATCGCGCCGCATCGCCGATGCATCGACGATGCAGCTCGATGTGGAGGCCGTGTTTCCCCCCCGCCGACGTCGCCGATGCATTGCCGACGTCACCGATGCATCGCCGATACATCGCCGATACCTCGGCGATGCATTGGCGATGCGGCGCGATCCTTCGACCCCAACTACTTGGACCCCATCTAGGAGGCCTCTAAAGATGGCGCCAAGACGGCCCGAGAGAGCCCCCCACAGAAACGCAAGACGCGCCCAGAGGGCCGAAGAAAGCCCCAGCAGCCCCAAGAGGACCCCGACAGGCCCCCAACGGGTCCCCAGGATGCCCCAAGATAACCCCAGATGGCCCTAACAACCCCCAGGGCAGTTTCAGCAGGTCACGAGGACCCCCCTTCTTCAACGTCCATTTCATCGGGCTCCTTCCGTTCCTCCTCGAACCCGTCCTCCTCCATTTCGTCCTCCTCGTCCTCGCGCTTGTCTTCCTACTCGTTGTCCTCCTGCTCTCCCTGCTTCCCCGTCATCCACGCCGTCATCCTCGTCATCCGCCGCCATGTCGTCGCCATCATCCTTACGAGCCCAATCGACAAAATCGGCTTTCAGGTCTTTGTCCGATCATGTGTTCAGGTTGTCTAAGGAAGTGCTGTGCGCGCTTTCAGCGACCTGTGCCACGAGTACGCGAGCGCAAAATTATTCTGCGGCGCACCTCAGGAGGATAGAGGGGGCCGGCAGAAGGCAGCGAGACGAAAACAATGCCAGCTTCCCAGAAGGCGCGAGGGCTTCTGAGAAGCCCCGCTGCCTTTGAGAAGGCCGGCCCCCTCTGCCTTCCCCCCCCCTCCAGGCGCACCGCCGAATTATCTTACGGGCATTGGCTTTGCGATGCGGCCACCGCTTCAATCTCGACACAATTGTGCGCGGTGCCATTGATCGCCACCACTTAAACATATGTAAGTATTGCATGTGTGCGTCAGCCCCGCAGGGGCAACGCACGCTTTCCGAATTCTTGCAGTATGCTCTTGGGGGCAGGCCTGAGTTCTATATGTGTGTTCTGTATGTTCTATGTGTGTGTGCTCTGTATGCTATATAGATGTATGTATTATGCATGTGTGTTCTATGTGTTTTACACGTGTGTATTCTCTATGCTTTATGTGTATGTATATATATATATATATGTACACGTTTACGGTAGATGTGTGGGCGTCAGGGGGGTAGCGTGTCACATCGGCCGCATTCGCTTGCATGGCAGCTGTTTTGGCTGAGTTCCGCGCCCTCCAAGGAGGGCATGGCCGCCCCGGGGACCACCGTGCCGCGCCCGCCGCCCGCGCGTTACTGCGGCTGGTGCGCGGGACCCCTCGGGCGAGGGGAGTCGCTGGCCCTGGCCGAGGGCGGAGCCCTCCTGGAGGTCTGCGAGCTGTGCTACATCATCGGGCTGATCCGGCAGGCGGCGTGGCGCGCCCGCCTCAGCGTGGAGGAGAGGGCGGCGCTGCTCGAGTCCGCCCGGCTCTTGGGCGCGCTGCTCTCCGCGCTCGCCGGCCTGGGGCTCGATGGCGCCGAAGGCGAAGGCCGTCGCCAAGGGCAAGGCCAAGGCTAAGGCTAAGGCGAAGGCCTTGGGCCGAGGACGCGCCCGCGGCCGAGGGCGCGGCGCCGGCGGCCTCGGGCGAGGAGCCGCGGGGAGAGGCGGAGGCGCCGCCGCCTTCCCGCCGGTTGCCCCGGGCCTGGCGGCTGCCGCGGCGGTCGGCGGCGCTGCGGCGGCCGCGCCCGCGGGCGGCGGTGCCGGCGCGCCCGTGGTGCCTGGCCTGGCGGCGCTGCCCGGCCTGCCCGGCGTCGGAGGCGGCGCGGCTGCTGGAGCGCCCCCGGCGGGCGGCGCCGTGCCTGGCGGCGGAGGCGCTCCCCCCGGCGGCGTGGGCGCCGCGCTGGTGGGCGCGCTCGCGGGCGGCGGCGGCGGCCCCCCTGGTGGCCCGCCTCCTGGCGCGGTGCCTGGGCCCCGGCGATCCCTGGTGTGCCGATCGCGGTGGCAGGCGGGCCGATCGCCCCGGCGGGCGGCGCGCAGCTGGGACCTCTCGTGGACGGTCCGTGGCGTCAGGCCGTGACTCTGATTGGCGCCGACGGGCGCCGAGGGGTGAATCTCGAGCCCCCGACCTTCGACGCAGCTGGAGGCATCAGCGGGACCGCCCTGTTCGAGGTAGAGGAGATCGGTACCGCGGGCCCTTCTGGGCAGTACCTGAGCGCCCAGTTCAGGGGGGCGTCGCTGGCGGCCGAGGCGATGCGGCTGGATGGCCTGTTCCCGCCGCGCGGCGCCGGGCCTGCGGGCCTCCTGCACTTGCGCGGGCAGGGGCCGGCGCTGTGCGGGGAGCCCGCCGTGCCAGGTCGAGGAGTCCTGCACGTCGAGTGACTGCGGCTGCGCTCGAACCGCGGGTTCGTGGAGCCATGGGCGCGGCCGAGCGCCTTCGGTGGGCGCGGCGGCGGCGGGGCCTTGGCGGGGGCCGCCCCAGTCGGGGGCGCGGCCCCCGACCGCCTGGCGGCAGCTGCCGCGGCGCGCGCGCAGGCTGCAGCGGCGACGCCTGGCCGTGCCGCTGGCGGAGCTCCTCGGGCTCGCGCAGCGACGACGACGGTGAGTCGCGTTTTCGCGAGGCCCCCTCCCGCGGCGGCAGCGCACGGCTGCTGGCGGAGAAGCGCCCAGGTGCCCTGCACGACGAGGCGATGAAGAACATCGGGCGCGTCATGGGTCTGCGGGAGGGGGCGGACGGCTCAGAGGTTCGAGCGAAGGTCGCGGGCTACTTGCAGGCCGCGGTGTTCGGCCATCACCCTCCGGGGCAGATGCGGGTCAACACCCAGCGGGAGCTGCAGGCGCTGGCGACCGCGCTGGACCTGCTGGAGAGTGGATGCCTGGCGGAGTTGAGCGACGTGTTGATGCAGCGCTTCAAGGCTCTGGAGCTGTCGCTGTCCGACGCGAGCTGGCAGGTGGCGAGCGAGCTGGAGATCGTGCCGGACGCGCGGCCCTCGCTGGCCTCGATGGGCGAGCAGGACCTGGCGCGGCGAGCGGCGATACTGCGCAGGAAGCTGCTGGACGCGAAGAGCCGCGGCGGGCTCGGCGGCAGGGGTCAGGGCGAGCGCCAAGCCTGACCCGAGGAGGCGAGGCGCGGGAGCGGCGGAGCCCACTCGCCCTCGCCGAGCCGCGAGCAGGGCCGCGGTCGCGCGAGGAGCCGCGGGCGCGGCCGAGGCCGCTTCTCCCCCCTGCGGGCGGGGAGCCCAGCTCGGCCTTGGGCAGGGCCCGCAGCCGCAGCCCCGCCCGCGGGCCCGCCAGGCGCAGCGCGCTCAGGCAGCGCGGGCAGGTCGCCATCTCCGGGGGCGCTGAGGACGCCTCGAGGCGACAGCCCGCACCCGAGGGCGGCGGACGAGCCGAGGCGCGTCTCGCTGGCGACGAGCCCGGAGCGCCGCGTCTTCAGGCAGGACCAGCCCGCGGCTGCGGCGGCAGCGGGCCCGCAGCAAGGTCCGCCGCGAGGCCAGGCCCCCCCGAGCGGCCGCCGCCGTGGCGGCAGGAAGCACTGGGGCCGAGGCCGAGGCGGCCTTCCTGCGACGCTGAGGTGAGGCAGCGAGCTCATGGTGCCAGCGCTGATGATGCGCGTGCGGGTGTGACCGAGTTTGCCGAGGTTGCCCGCACGCGCAGACCGCCCTGGACTTCACCGTCGCGCTCGCCGCCTCCGAGACTGGCTCCTGACCGTGGCGGCGCTGCCGCCGCGCGCCGCCCGGCGTCCTCGTCGCGCCCGCCGGCCTGCAGCACGGATGCCGACTGTGACGGTGCGGATCCGCCGGCAGAGTGGCGCGAGTGGGCTGGCGCGGCGAGTGATCTTCTGCGAGAACCTTTCGACGCGGGCCCCGTGTTGTTGAACGTAGTCCGCCAGTTCCCAGGCTCCTTCGGTCGCTTCACTAGATATTCCCTCGAGGTAAAGCCACGCGAGCATCCGGCCGACATGGGAGGTCGGCTTCAGCGAGATCTGTTGCCGTTACCATACCTTTCTATCACCAGGTCCCAGATCGCCCAGCAGGGCGAGGACCCTTTGAGCGACAAGGAATGGGAAGGACTACACTGCAGGCTGGTGGTCACTGTCCTGGCGCTGAACTGGGAGTCTGGGCCCCGCCCCCTGAAGCTGGCCAGGCCCTGCCGAGGTCGGGCCAACGCCGCGCAGCAGGCAGCCCTGGCCGCTCTCGGCCGCCGCCTCCTCTTGGCTACGCGGGCCGAGTCGGCTTTGCCGCCAGATCTTGACTGGAACGCGCGGCTGAGGGGTCGCATGATCGGCTACGGCGGGGGCGAGATCTCGGCGCCGCATCGGCTGACGCTGGAGCAGGTGCTGGACGGGCTGCCGCCGCCGGGCGTCGCGGCCTTCATCGAGGCGGCCGACCTCGCGACGGGGTTCGTGCGCGAGGCCCTCCTGGACCCGACGCTGGTGCTGCTGCCCGCTGCCTTGCGGCGGCCCGCGCCGACGTCTGCGCGCGTGTGGGCCTCGCTCGAGGAGTGGCATGGGATCGCGCGGGCGCTCCACGAGCGCGGGATGGTGTCGGCGATCCCGAGCAGCGAGATCGTTTGTCGCGACGGAGCCCCGCCCCTGAACGGGGCGTTCGGGGTGCCCAAGCCCCGCGACGAGCCCGTGGTCTGCAGCGACGGCGAGCGCAGGCCGGTCCTGAGGCTGATCACCAACCTTATCCCGTGCATCGTGGGAGACACCCCTGAGATGCCGACCATGAGCCAGCTGAACGGCCTGGTGCTGACCGAGTCGGAGGATCTGCTGTGGAGCGGCGCGGACAGGAAGGCCTTCTTCTACGTCTTCCGCGCGCCGCCTGCGTGGTGGCCTTACATGGTGATAGGCCCGCCCGCCCCCTCGGAGTTGCTTGGCCTGAAGGACGGCGGGGCCGCGCACATCTGCTTGCGGTGATCGGCATGGGCCGGATCAGTGCCGCGGGCGTGACGACCCACCTCCACCGGAACATGCTGCGGCGGAGCGCCTCTGTCCCTCGCGGCCTGCCGCCCGGCGAGGAGATCACTCGGCGCCGACGGCTGCCGTTCAGCGTGAAGAAGCCGTGCCCTCCGGCGTGGGTGGTCTACATTGACAACCTGGAGGTCGCGGAGGTCGTGAGCAAGTCCGAGGCCGCGACGCTGCGAGGGACGGTGCCCGAGCTCATCTCCGAGGCTCGCGCCTGCTATTGCGGGCTCCCCGGGGTCGCTGTGGACGTTGAGCAAGAGACGGGCCAGCATGCGGCTGGTGCGCATTCTGCTGGGCCGCTGGGTTCGTGTTCACTGCTTTCGCCGGCCGCTGGCGGCCAGCTTTGCCTACACCTGGAAGTGGCTCGCGAACCCGCGCACTGGCGGCCGCTTCAGCGTGAGCGTGGTCGAGGGCCTCTTGATGTGCCTTGCGCTGTCAGGGCTCTGCGTCGCTGACCTGCGCCTCGAGGTCGACCCCCTGGTGACCGCGTCGGATGCCTCGGAGGCCGCTGGCGCCGTGGTCTACGGCTACGCCCTCTCCGACCGTGGGCGCGCGCTGGCCGAGAGGCGGCAGCGGCCCGCGAACGCCGCCTGCGAGGAGGAGACCGGCCTCGTGACTGTCTTCGACGGGATCGGCGGCGGGCGCCGGGCTATCGAGATCCTCGGACTGGTCCCTGCCGTGCACCTGTCGTTCGAGGTTGACCCCGCGGCGGTGCGGGTGGCCCGGCGCAGCTGCCCCAGCACTGGCAGCCCTGCTGCGCGCCCGAGGCCGCGTGTCGCGTGTGCTGGTGGTGGGCGGCTTCCCGTGCCAGGTCTTCGCGGGTCTCAACGTCGCTCGGCAGGGCCTCGACGACCCGCGCGCAGGCCTGGTTGACCACATGGTGCGGATCGTGGACGGGCTGCGGGCGGCCATGCCGGAGGCGTCAATCGACTTCCTCGGGGAGAACGTCGCGTCGATGCCCGAGTGCGACGTGCTGCGCCTGAACCAGCTCTTCGGCCGCATCCCGCTGGAGATTGAGGCGGGGGATGTCGGCTGGGTCAGTCAGACGTCCGCGGCTCTACTGGGCTTCGTGGGACCTCCTGCCGTCCTTCGAGGCTGAGCCAGTCGTGGTGCGGGCCAAGACCCAGGACGTTCGGCGCGCCTGCAAGGTGGCGCTGAAGACCCAGCGGCCGCCGCTCGAGGAGTGGCTCCCGCCCGGGGCTGTGTGTCCAGGTCCCGCTGCGGGGGGACCGCTGCCGACCTTCGCGCGCTGGACGCCGCGCTCGCAGCCGCGCCCCAGGCCTGCGGGCATCGGGGAGTGCAGCGCTGCTGAGCTGGCGCGCTGGGAGGCGGCGGGCTTCGCTTCGCCGCCCTACCAGTTCCGTGACAAGTGGTGCATCCACCAGGCGGACGGCCGCGTGGAGCCGCCTGACGCGACCATACGAGAGAAGCTGATGGGCTTCCCGGAGGGCCACACCGTGCCGCGCATGACGAGCAGCCAGGCGAAGGCCGAGCCCGCCAAGTACGAGGCTCTTCGGCGGTCGCTCGTGGGCAACTCATTCCAGTGCGAGGTGGTGGCCTGGATCATCAGCCACTGGGCCGTCGGAGCTGGGCTGCTGGTCTCAGTGCCCTCGCTGGGTGAGCTGCACGAGAGTGCGCGAGCCTGGGCTGGTGGCAGGAAGCTGTGGGCCGGCGACGTGACGTCGCCGCGGTGCGGTCGCTCCGAGATCGACGAGGACCTGCACGCCAAGCTGGACCAGGCTGGCGGCCCCATCTACGTGGGTCGTGGGTCTCGCCGGTGGGGGCTGGCTGCCTCGCGGTGGGGCAACCCCTTCACGATCAGCCCCAGGCGGTCGCGCGAGGACGCCGTTGCCCTGCTCGCTGGTTGGATCCGCGCGCAGCCAGCCCTCCTGCAGAGCTTGGAAACGCTGCGCGGGGCCCTGCTGGTCTGCCACTGTGGGCCCGGCCGCCAAGCGTGCCATGCGGACATCCTCTTGGCGGAGTTGGCGAAGCGTGACGTGGTGGAGTGGCGCGAGCTGGACGCGTCCAGACGCATCGTCATGGGGCTCGTCATGGCGTGCCACAACAACGGAGCAGACATCAGGACCGATGGCGCCTCGGAGGCGCTCGGCAATATCTCCCCGCGGCAGGAGATCGACTCAGGTATTTGGCAGTGGCGCAAGGCAAGGCAGCTAGTGTGGGATGCAGCGGAGCACATCAACGTTCTTGAGTGCCAGGGCGCGCTGATGATGATTCGATGGCGGGGGCGGTCGGTGCGCCGCCACCAGTGCGTCTTCCTGCACCTGCTCGACAGCATGGTCAACATCGGTGCGCTGTCCAAGCACCGTTCCAGCAGTCTTCAGCTCAATAAGGTGGTGCGGACCTTCTCGGCGTGGGAGCTTGCGATGGGCGCGCGGGCGGTCTTCGGCTTCACGTCGTCGGCTCGCAACCCCGCGGACGCCCCCTCGCGTCTCCGCGATGGGGAAGCGGAGTAGCCCTGCTGACCGCCGCGCCGCCAGAGCTGGACTGGGGAAGCTGAGAGACGCCAGGATAAAGGCCTCGACACTGGCCCGCTACCGTGGCGCAGCTCAGCGTTTTGTTGACTACCTTGCTGCCCGTAACCTGCCGCTGCCTTTCACCTGGGACGATATTGACATCTGCCTGCAAGATTACCTTGAACACTTGTGGGCCGAGGGCGCCACAAAAGGGGAAGCTAATGACACCCTCAGCGGCGTGCGGCACCTGCTGAGGACACGGCGCCGCTATCCTGGAGCTTGGCAGCTGCTGACGGTCTGGGGCAGACCGGAGATCCTTCAGCGCGCGCCGCCGATGCCTGCCCAGGTCTGCACGGCGCTCGCCGGTTGGGCGCTCAGCCGCGGAGAGGTGGCCTTCGCGGCCGTGCTGCTCGTGGCCTTCCACCTCTGTCTCCGCACTGGCGAGGCTTTGGGGCTGAGCGGCGGCGTCATCTTTTTGAAGCCCTGCGGCCGAGGCGCGGTGTCGTTGCCCTGGACCAAGACCTCTTGCCAGAAGGGCGCGCGGGGGCAGGTCACGCTTGACGACCCGCTGGTTGGCGCAGTCGTCCACATGCAGCTCCAGCGCGACAGCCGGCTCTGGCCCGGCACGACGCGCGCCTTCCACGACTTGTTCCGTGCTGGGCTCCAGCAGATCGGTTGCAAGCACCTCGCCCTGTCACCTTACAGCCTGAGGCGCGGGGGTGCCACGCGCGAGTTCCTGCTGTCGGGCGACTTGTCTAAGGTCATGCTGCGAGGGCGCTGGGGCTCGGCAAGAACGGCAAAGATATACATCCAAGGCGGGGCTGCCATCATCGCCGAGATGAAGCTCCAGGATCGTACCCGTTCGACGCTCCAGCAGTTCTCTAATGCACTGTTCGCTCGAGTCCGAGCGTTCTGCAGCCCACGACCTGCTGCAATGTTTGTTTTGGTGGCTGGTGCGAGCTGCTGCCCGAGCTGCCGTCGCCAGTCTTGATATATCTTCGGCCTGCGGCCAGAGGAAAAACACAGAATGGAGAGCTTCGGCGTCTTTTTCGAGAGTTGGCGAGCTTCTTGGGCACGGTCCTGCTGGGCTCTCAGGGGGTTCTCTTTGCTGGGCCCCCCCAAGGCCGTCGAGCCTCCCCTGGCCCCCGAGGCCGTGGAGCGTTCTGGCCCCAGTCTTCCGTGATGGTGGTCGACCCCAGTCTGCGGATGGTGGTCTGCGAATCCAGCTCTGGCCTCGGGGTGCGGTCTGTGCTCTGGCGTGGGGGTCGGTCCGTGCAAAAGAGAGTAGACCTTTCGAGCTCCGTGCAGAGGCCTCTGTACATATAAATATAAGTGCCCATGGGAGTTTAAGCTCTGTCAACAGCTTTGGCCGATTGAAGAGGGAAAAGACATTTCTCCTTAATTCGATGAGCTATCGCTCACCCCCCGCCTGCCCCACACATGTATACGTTTACGGTAGATGTGTGGGCGTGAGGGGGGTAGCGTGTCACATCGGCCGCATTCGCTTGCATGGCAGCTGTTCTGGCCCACCCACATACCGCCCTAAGTGGCGAATGCATCATTGAGTCTCGCGAGAGCTCGAGCTTCTTGGGCACGGTCCTGCTGGGCCCTCAGGGGGTTCTCTTTGCTGGGCCCCCCCAAGGCCGCCGAGCCTCCCCTGGCCCCCGAGGCCGTGGAGCGTTCTGGCCCCAGTCTTCCGTGATGGTGGTCGACCCCAGTCTGCGGATGGTGGTCTGCGAATCCAGCTCTGGCCTCGGGGTGCGGTCTGTGCTCTGGCGTGGGGGTCGGTCCGTGCAAAAGAGAGTAGACCTTTCGAGCTCCGAGCAGAGGACTCTGTACATATAAATATAAGTGCCCATGGGAGTTTAAGCTCTGTCAACAGCTTTGGCCGATTGAAGAGGGAAAGACATTTCTCCTTAATTCGATGAGCTATCGCTCACCCCCCGCCTGCCCCACGCACATATGTGTTTTGTCTGTGTGTTCTGTACTACGTATGCTCTATATGTTCTCGATACGACATTCAAGCAGTGGCGAAGAGCCCTGGCTCGCCTATAGCCCCACCAAACAATGTTTTAAGAACCTTTGTGGTCTCCACGAAATGTTCTTAGAACATGTCTGGCGGAGTCTGTCATGTTTTAACACATCGGATTTATGTCATAAGAACATTGTGTTTGGTTTTAGAACATGTTTGGGTTCTAAGAACAGTTCGTGGTCTGACTACAGGAATGCCGGGACGGCCGGTCCCTGCTGAAGATCTATGTTACGTGTGTGCGTGTGTGCGTGTGTTCTATAGGTTCGGTTCCGACGTGCGCCTCCGAGGGGGCGCATACCACCAGCATATCATTTTGAGTCCCCGTGCGATTCGACCGCCGCTTCAGTCTCGACGGGTTGCGCGTGAGGGCTTCCAGATTTGTGGTGTCGTCGACGTTTGCCTACAGGATTCGGCCGGACCTAAGGAACGATAAATAAGGAACGAAGCCCCTCTTGATTCAAGTAAGTCTAGGACGTCCAGAGGAACAGGGGGCCTGCCGCCAAAAAGGTAGCGGAACGCACGCAAACCCAGGTTTTTGGCAGGTTTTGTGGCAAGTGTTTTGGAAGGTTTTTGGAAGTTTTTGGTTGCAAGGTTGTTTGGAAGGTTTTTGGAAGGTTTTTGGAATGTATCAGGCGGTTTCGCTACATGTTGGCAGGTTATTGGAAGGTGTTTGGAAGGCTTTTGTTGGACAGTTTTTGGAATGTGTTTGGAAGGTTTGTTTGGAAGATTTGTTAGAAGGTTGCCAGAAGGTTTTTGCAAGAAACAAAAGCCTTTTCAAAAACCTCCCTCGCCCCCCCCCCCCCCCCCCCCCCCCCCCCGGGAACGCCCCCCCAAAACCTTGCAAGAAATTGCCGCACGAAGAATCCAGGAGGGATTCGTCGGAACTCCCGCATTGGTCTCTTTGGCTTCCCGTCGATAGGGTTCGACTTCCCTTGGGCTTCCCGTCGACTCGATTTCCCTTGGGTTGGCGTGCCTGCAGAGGCGACTCGAAACCTTTAGCACACGCCGACAGGGTCTGCGGATTTTTGTCGAGGATCCCGCGGATTATTGAAGGTAATGGTTTTCATTTTTGCTGGGGCTTAACGGGCCCCCAACGCTTCGAGTCTGCTTTCCCTGGTGCCCCTCGATACACTCGAAAGCCCGCTGAATCCCCGACTTGATCTGGCTCTCAGTGCCGAATTCGTGCCCGCCTTTCCAGGGCACGCGAAGCGCGCCTCATTTAGCAGCCCCCCCCCTCCCCGCCCCTTCGTAGCCGTTTGGCGCAAGAGGGCTGGCACAGAAAATCTTGAAAGTTTACGCGCGGCAGTGAAAGCTCCACAGCTTTCCTTCATTCTTACAATGTTATCGAAACAACTGTTTGTGTGGATTGCCCTTTATTATGGTAGTTCGGGCTTGGAGATTCAATCAAAACCATCAGCTTCTTTGGAGGCAATGCGCGTGCTTCTCTACGTCGCAACCGCTGGGTCGCCGCAGCACAGAACCTTCATGAATTGCCAAGCGGATCTCTTTCGACGCTCGCCAAAATTTGCAAAGGCAGATGTGCCCCTCTACGTTGGCGAGACTAATTATACGGGCGCGACACATGTTCTGATGCAAGACCTCTTGGATAAATGGCCGATGCCACACAAAACTCTAATTCATGAGGGTGGTAACCCTGGCAGACAGGCAGGAGCGATGAAAGCTATGCATGTGGCAGCTTCGAGAGGTTTGTTCAGAGGGTACGATTGGGTGATCAGAATCAACCAAGACGTAATCTTTTACGAAGAGAAGCCGTTGTTTGATCTCATGCAGAATCCTAAGAATTGGGGTGTCTTCGCGATTTGCTATTATAGCACACGATTGCATTGCAATTTGACCCACACAGATGTCTTCGCGGTGCGTCCCCAGTACGTTGATGAACAGGCATTTGCCGATTGGGAGTGGCAGGCCAACAATGGCGGTTGGGCGGAATCGCAGGCTACAGCGGCATTTGAACGCATCTATAATTCCAGCAGCTACGCCTTTATAAAGCCACCGCCAATCTGGCATCCTTCCTGTCGCTTGCAAGATGGAGGAATCTGGCACGCAACAGGCACGTGCGAACAGACTTTAGACAAGTTTGGATGGAATACAAGCTTCCACGACCCCCATGCGTCGGGTCCAGATCACAGGCTTCTTGAGAATTCTTGGCACATGGCATGGCGCGGTAGCTAGTCAAACTCGCCACGAAAAAGGCGCGACGGGCACAATTACCTGGACTCAGACAATGTCGTCGTCGTTTGGACGACGGGTAAAATCGCTTGTCTGGGAGCTTGTCGTCGTTTGGACGATGTTTACATCAAAGCCCAATCCTCGACTTCGATGTTCTCTTACTTGTAATGGAGGACCAAGCAGCAAAACAACTATCATCCACATTGTTATCGCAAGTATGCTTGTAATCGACTGGATGTTGTGTGTTACTATGCCTCGTCTTTGTTGCTCCGTCGCCTGTTACCGCACAGTTCCAGGCTTGAACGCCGAAAGAGAGGTGAGAGGATGGATGCAGATGGTACCCCCGCACCAGTTGCAGCAGCCTTGTCCGGCTAATAATACAATGATACCGGAGAGAAACCCCTTATCCGAGTCTTTGTTGTTTTTACGTGAGATCCTTTTAGTTGTAGCCTAGTTTTCGCCTAGCTTTCGCTTGGCTTTAGCTTAGCTTTGGCTTAGCTTTAGCTTAATCTGAAAAAGGTGCTGTTCAGACTCTGGGGCGCCCCCAGACTCTGGGGGTTGGGGGTTGCTCCGACTTTGTCTCTCGTTGTCCGACTGTGTCTCCTCGCTCCTACCCCCTGCCTCCTTCTCCTGGTCCTCCTCCCTGTTTCTCTTCCTACTCCCTCTTCGCCTGCTTTTCCCAGTCCTTTCCTATTCCTCCTTCCTCCTCCTTTCCTCCTCCTCCTCCTCCTCAACCTCCCCCTCCTCCTCCTCCTCCTCGCCCCCAGTGCGCCCAGGAGGCTTCAAGATGGCCCCATGACGGCCCAGGAGGCCCCAAAGACGGCCCCAAGAGGCCTCTAAGACGCCCAAGATGGCCTCCAAGACGGCCCTGAAGCGCCTCAAGAGGACCCCACATCGGTTCAGAGAGGCCCCCAAGACGGCTTCCGACGGCGTCAGACCCGTCAGATGGACCAGGAACGCTTTAAGACGGCCAAGGAGAGGCCCCCAAGACGCCCCCAAGGCCCCCGAAAGGCCTAAGGAGGCCCCCAAGAGGCTTCCAAGAGGCCCCCGGGAAGCCCCCAGGAGGCCCCACAAGAGTGCCCCAAGAGGCTCCCAAGAGGCCTCCTCCTCCTCCTCCCTCCTCCTCCTCCTCCTCCTCCTCCTCCTCCTCCTCCTCCTCCCTCTCCTGATCCTCCCCCTCAGCCTCCCCCAAGTGTTCCCCGAAGAGTTTCCGGAGCGGCTGGGGGAATACATAATCAGATAGCTTGGCCAAGTTGGGGCCCAACGTTTGGCCACATAGGCGCTTCTCAAAAAGGCTGGGGGCGGCGGTGATTCGCCGTAGGCGTCTTGGATCCGCCGCCCCCTGTGCTTGCCACAGGGGTGGACGGCGTGCCAGACATTTTGCTGCTCTTGTTATTTTCAAACCCTTCCCAGTGGCCTTCGGCCCAGACCGCCTGCCCCTCGGAAGGACCAGAAGGTGTGGCCCACATCGCCACCAAGACGGCCCAAGATGGCCACCAAGATGCCTCCAAGGCGGCTAGGATTGCCCCAAGAAAGCCCAAGACGGCCCCAATGTGTCTCCAAGACGGCCCAAGATGCACCCGAGGCGTTCCAAGATGGCCCCAAGATGGCCCAGGACGGCCCCAAAGGCCCCCAATAGGCTTTTAATGCAGTCCAAGAAGCCTCCAAGGGGACCTGCAGGAAGGCCCGCAGAGGCAAAGACAGCTGATTTCCCGTGGGCTCTTGACGGATTTTGACGTTTTTCGGCCTGCCGACGGCCCAATGCCGCCGAAGAGACCCCCAAGATGGCCCCAAGAGGCTTCCAAGACGGCCCCATGACGGCCTCCAGACGGTCCAAGAGACCCCCAAGGCGCCTCCAAGACGGCCCACGAGAATTCCAAGGCCCCCACTTGTCATCGTCATCGTGGTCGTCGTCGTCGTCATCATCGTCATCGTCATCGTGGTCGTCAAACCTTTTCCAG